AAACAGAAGGTTTCAAACCTTTCAGAAAGGTTTGAAGGTTTCACTTCAAGTTTTCTTCTGCCTAGTACACCCATCAGTTAGAATAGACTCTTCCCTCTAGAATGCCCCCGACTCTCTTCTCTCAGAACCTCTATCATATTATTGCTCTTATCTATTTATCTGCCTGTCTGCCTCACGAGGCCATATGCACCTTGAGGAACAGGACTGGATTTGATAACTTTTTTGGATTCCCCAAACCCCACCGCACACATAATACATGTTATACTTCTTTATCAGATAGATAAGTAAATGAGCGAACAATTTATGGAAAGAAGAAAATATTTCTGACAGCTTTACAGTGGCAGGAAAAATAAATGAGGAAGTGTTTAATACTTTAAGGATCCAGCCCAAGTAATAAAGTCATGGAATCTAAGAACTAAGACAAAATCTCGTGTCAAGAAGTCACAACTGTTGTACAGCAGAGCCAAGAGTCAAGTGCTTTTCAGAAGTGCTGTTGTGGGAGTTGAACATCTCAGCCCATGAACAGTACAAGGAATTATTTTCACATGAAGATATATCTAAAAATTGCCAGGAATTTTTTAAGTGGATGGTAATTTACGGCAGACACCTCCCTGAACACAATCTCCAATTTAATTTCAAGAAACATAAGTAGAGGCAATCTTTTTGAGAGTGCCTAATAACAGACCCTAAAGAAACATATTTGCATAGAAAGCTGGAGAATATATGACTAGTTCAGAGATGACTGACACCCCATTTATATTTTACTACATGTTATAGTAGTATTCCCAGGAACAATATTTTCAGAAAGCAAGACTATGTGAGACTCCTAGGTTACAAAAGATATAATTAACCTTTGATGAAGTGGAAGTTGACACCTGAAATCCATCTAGGAATCAAGCGGGGTTATGACTCAATCAATCAAATATGCTAGCAGAAAGCTAACATGCAGGTAACTTAGATGATGTTTGCTTAGAGAAAAGGGACTAAATCAAGCTTGATCTACTGCATAGGCAGAGTACCTTCTAAACGCAGGGAAAATTTTTTAAATAACTGGTAGCGCCTCATCAATTTCTCAGCACAAGGAGAATGCCATTTTGTCCCACACAGGTAGAAGAGTTTATGAATTACATCAATACAGTGGCCACTCCCTCTACCTCCCAGTACTTTCATTAGAGTTAACTTCATTTACTCAATAATTATTTGAATATTACCTCTGTAGTAGACACTGGGCTAACTTACTGGGAAAATGATCTATATTCTCAATCTTGGGAATCATTCTTTGGTAGCAAAAGCACAAAGCAAATGAGTAAACATATAAATGATTTCAAAAGATAACAAGATTTTATAAACAACATCAGTGTGTACTAGTACAAATAACCTGTGGGTCGGGCTACTTGTACCAATAAATTACCTATAGGTTAGTCAGTTAAGGTGGAAAAGAGCTGACTGAGTGTTCTAGAATTATGAGATAAGTTTCAGAGGGAGAAAAAGGCATGAGTTGATATAGGTAGCCAGGAAGTAGATGTCAATAACTGAATCCCTCTGCATAAGTAATTAAGACAAATAAGACAGGACTACAGAACAGACAGAAAAATACGGATTAATAGACTGGTGGTGTTAATAAAGGAGAAATGTCTCTTGTAGAAAAATACAGCAGGTGAATTAGGCTAGGAGACTTGGTCAGGGAGTAAGATGTATCCAACCATGATGCTGAAAGTGGTGGTGTTTCTGTTCGTGACAGGATCCAATGTGTGACCTTAAGGAAGTGTGGTGAAGGTGAAGTGTACGAAAAAGGTCACTGGAAATGAGAAGATCAAGGAACTAAGGGGGAAAAGTAGACACATTGTGCATCCCTGTTTTTGAAAAGTTGGTCAAAGATATTTGCTGAAAATCAGCATTTTGTCTTTTCTTAAGGCAACAGTCTCCAAATCTGATAGTTGTCTTTTTTTTTTCCTCCAAGTTTCAAACTCTCAATAAAAGAAGAATCACAACTTCGGTATAGGAGATTGCCTGATGGCTTTTCCCCTCACTCCCATTTCAACAGGTCTTCTCTTTCCTACTGTGCATTTTTCCCTGTTTTCTCCATAAGACTATGATATTCTCTATCTCCCAGCCCCCACTGGACACATTCCACGTACAACTCAGCTTGCACCACCCAGAGAGCTTTGCCCTTCTAGATGCAAGATGCATCTATAAATACCCTCAGGTGTGTGTTATAAATATAAACTAATTATCAGAACCCAAATCTGTCCTGGGTACTCATTTTCCAAGATGAACTTGTCACTAGTTTATGTTAAAGAAATCAGTCTTTAAGCAAAGAAAAGTAAGATTGAGTTCTGTGTTTGCTTCTGGGAATTGTTACATATTTATAAATTTTCTAAGCTATAAGTACTACACATATTTTTCTAACAGCATCTACACCAAAGGTATTTATACAATTAATGATTTTTCCATCAAAGTGAAAAGTGTGCACCTGGGCAAGGAAACGGTTCTAAAATGATTGAGCATCTTGCCATATAAGCACTTAAATGCCTTATTTAATTTAATTACAACATTGATCATGTTTACCTTCAAAAATATGGAACCAAGAAGGCACGATGAAATACAACCATATTTCCACCACCCTCACGGATAAGCCCTCATAATATCTACCTTAAGATGGATCCCAAAGTATATGAAGCCTGTAGCAGTGCCTGGTACATAGATGATGAATAAATATTTGTAGACTGAATTAATATAGCATACGTTCTGTAATACACTTTAAAATGTCTATGTTTTCAAATTAGAATGTTATAAGAGGAATATTTACAAATTATAAAAATTTAAAAATCCAGTGATTCAGAAAGGGATAAAATAAGAGAAATTCTTCTCACTCACACTGTCATATCCTAATAGGAATACCAAATCCTAGAAAATCAGAGAGACACACACGCAGATATAAATATGGTAATGAATTTAAGAACAAATAGTATTGTTCTATACACTGTTTAGCAACGTGTTTTTTCCACTTAATATTTCTTAAACATATTTCCCATACGAGCATTTGTAAATTTACTTTAGAAAGGCCTCATGTGGATTGTCCTATAATTTAATCATCAAATTGATAGACCTTTCCATTGTAGCCAGATTTGTGGCTGTTAAAAGCAATGCTCTAAGAAACACTACTCAGTCTCCCAACAAATACTTCCTGAGCACCCACGTGCCACGCCATGACCTAGACTCCAGGGTTTTAGATGTTAACAGAACAGTGGAGATGTTTAACCTCACGGAGCTTAGGACTACTAGGGGAGACTGATAAGGAGACAAAAATGAACACACCCCTTCCAATTTTAATTTGTACTATGAGGAAGAAGAAGGAAAAGGAAAACAGAAGGAAGTGACTTGTATCACATGGCAGAGATGGCCCCTCTAAGGAGGTAAACTATTAAGTTGGGGCCTGAGGATGAAAATGAGACAGGTTGCAACGGTATAGAGACATTTAAGCAGGGAAACAGCTAATACAAAGGCCTTCATAAGAAATCTTATTTTCAGGAAACTGAAAGACAATGAATGTGTCTACTGCACAGAGAACATAGACCAAGAGTAGGCCATAGAGGTAGAAGATGGGTGGATCTTATAGAATACTAACTAAAAAGTTTAAATTGTATTCCAAATGTGGTAGGAAACTACCAAAGAGTGATAAGTGAGGGAGTGACGTGATCTGATCTGCACTTTTGAGAGATCCCTCTAATTGCTATGGAGGAAAGAGACTGGGGAGAGAGGCAAGCAAGGGGACTTGTTCGGGCTTATTACAGAGTACAGGCAAGAGAAGTGGTAAAACTTGGTCTCAAGTCAGGGAAATGGAAATCGGAAGACAATGGAAAATCAAAGATTAAAGTAAACATTTGGCAATGGATTAGATATAGCAGATAAGATGGGAAGTTGTCAAAGGACTCCTGCTGGACTGTGAGCAATTGGGTGATGCCATTTTTTTTTTCTTTTTGAAACAGGAAAAAATGGGAGATTGGAATTGGTGAAAAAACTAGAGTTCCACTTTGGATATGTCGATTTTGAGTTGCTTATTAGACAATCAAGTGAAGATGCCAATTAGGTGATGTGAGAGTCTGGATTCCAGGATAAAGGTCTGTGTTCCATATAAAATAAAAGATTCATCTGTTTATGAACGGTTTAATATCATCCAAGGAGAGATGAATAAGATTACATAGAAAAGTGGGTTGGGAGGAGACAAGTTACACAGAAGAGGACTACAGTTAACACGGAAATCCGTGTCAGTGGCATTTTGGGGGGAAAACCAGATTGGAATGGTTTACCAGTTACTGGAATGTAGGAGGAAGTATACGAAGATAATTCTTAGAAGTTTCACTTTAAAAGTCTATAGGAAAGTGGAGTAATTGTAGGAGCTGTGGGGTCAAAATGACTCCTAGTTGTTGCCACTTGAATAATTTTAACATGAAAAATCCTAGAGCACATTTGTGTATTAAGAATAATAATCCAATATGGTGAGAAGGGAATAACCAACCAACCAACCAAATCTGGAAAAGGTTACAAAGTATAGGATTCAAACTAGAGGGTTTGTCTTTAACTATTTTTCTGGAAGAGAAGAGATAAAGGAGAAAAATGGGATTTGGAGATCAGCTGCTTTGTAGATTTGTGATGTCAGGAATTTTCCCTCCAGTGATTTCTATTTTCTCCAGAAAGCATGAGGCTAGCCATCAGCCTAAACTGTGCAAACTCATGTGTATGTGAGAAGAGGAGGCCAGTTTAAAGGGGAAAAATCAAGATGTAAAATTCTTTGTAGACAATGGAAACGAAAGCTAGCTAGAACTTCCAGGTAATGTTTTACTTCCATTTAAAGTTGGGGCTCATGAATGTGTAGGGATACCAATCTGCCTGCTGTGGCCTGGGTTTATCTAGGGCAGAGGTCCTCAAGTGGACCAACACCATCACCTGACCTGCTTGGTAAAAATACAAATTCACAGCCCCATCCAAGATCTACTTACATCAGAATGGTTGGGAGGTAAGACCCAGCAATCTGTTTTAAAGCGCCCTCTAGGAGATTCTGTGCAGTGGAAAGTTTGAGAACCACTCATCTGGGGAGAATTTTTTTTTCTCATGTAACTGTAAAGGAAGGAGAGAGAGCAAATGAATTAAAGTGAATCTACAAGAGAATGATTTTACTGACGATTCATGGAATAAAAACTGGATAAGCAGTGAAGACATCCTTTATAGATATCATGGCTCCTTTTAGAAAAGTATATTTTAAAAAGTATTTTTCTTAAATGAAAAATGTACGCATTTTAAATTTTGATACATATTGTACAATGACCCTCCAAAACTTTATATATCCGTCCACAGGGCACAAGAATGACCACTGCACTATATGCTTTCCCACAATTTTCATTGGTGTCTATTTCACAGGTGAAAAAGTTCTCTCTTGGTTGTTTTTGTGTTGTTTGTTTGCCTATCTTTTATTTCACACAGGTTCCCCAAAATGAAACATATAAGAACAGAATGGGGTACCTCACAACATCTGAGAAAAGGGCCAGAGTGTAGCTGAGCCCCTAGTATTTGTGGTAGCTACAATTAAATAATTTAATTCTTCATTAAGCCTTTGTTCATGTCGATTGCTCTTTTTGCTCAACTCCTCTTGTTCTCACGGTATAATTTTGTGTGACTGATGCGCTGTTTCTTTGTCAAGCAGGAGGAGATAACTTCAGGGTCTTGAAGAAAATTTATAAATTTGTTTTGCAGAAGGAGGAGATAGCCTTACAATGTCATGAATGGACCAAAGTTACGAGGGTCTTGATACTGGGATATGTAAAACCTAAAAAAGACTCTCTTCAAGCTTTTACAAATGGAATCCAGCCTTTAAACCATCACTACAGGAAAAGAGAAACTGTTTTAATAGTAACAGGGGTAGTTGCTCTGGCTGGCTTGATTCCCATGCTGGCAAGAGTCATTTGTAATACTACGACCACCTTACTGCTTCTCTTGCAATAGTAGTCAAGGAGACTGGACACGATTTCCAGCTCCTCCAAAAGTCCTTGGATTCCCTAGCCAAATTTGCACCAGATGACCAAGTAGCCCTAGATTATTTATTGGCAGAACAGAGAGGAGTTTGTGCTGTAGCAAATACTTCCTGCTGCTTGTATGTAAGTACCAGTGGACAGGATTAAAACATACACACATATGAAAGATGCTAACTCTGGCCAAATGGCTAATCTTAAAAACTCCACTGCTCAAACTATATAGGACTCCATTAAGGGGTACCTACCAAATATCACTTGGCTCCTTCTCCTCCTGGGACCCCTGGTAGCTATCTTTAATTACTTTTCAGCCCTTATCTCTTTAATCTCCTTGTTAAGTTTGTATCTTTCAACCTTCAACAGTTTCATATAAAGCTGACAGTCATGCAGGGGTTCCAGTCAATACTATCCACTGAGATATCAGACTCAGTCAAGATCATACCAACCTCTTGATCATGTTGCAAGAGATTTTTACCCCTCCGGATTTAGTGTACCAATAACCCCTCTGTCTTTTGAAGAAGAGACCGCTTCAGCCCGTATCCCTTAAGATTAAGGAGGATAAAATCTCTGTGGGGTATTGAGACAGGGAGGCAACTTCCTGCTGTCAACTCAGTGGAGTTGGACAAAAGGGGCCAGCTTCTTCTAATATTTAGGTAAGTTCTCCCAAGGACACTTAGATGTCTCTCCTGAACACTCAGATAAATTCCCGAAGGACATCCGCCCTAGGGAGAATAGTCAGCATTAAGGCAAAGCCCTATTGACAAAGGGCCGAGTGACTTTGGCTCCATGTGCCGGGTCAGACTCGAAGGTGCCTCTGTGTAACCTTGTCTTCATTACAATGCTAACAATCGCACCCAATGGTGGAAATTTACCATGCTGATGGGACATGAGAGGCGTGAAGGGGCATGTAGCCACACTATGCAGGCACCACCTCTACATACCTAGACATAGCTTTTTCCCGACTTGACTCCCTTGAAAAACCCTGCCCCGGAACCACGCATTTCTTCCTCCTCACGGTGTTGGTTTCCTCGTGTGCTAGCTTAATAAAACTTTCTCTTTGTCTTCGTTGGTGTTTGGCATCTGCATCCAGGGAGACTGCAAGAACCCAGGGAGCCAGTAACCAGCGGAGTTTTAATTAGAACATGCCATAAGGCCAGCATGTGATATGGCTCCATCAATAGGAATGTGTGTCCTGTTCAACTGCACTGATATAGCCATTCACTTCTGTCCTGCGAAGATTCCTATGGGTCTTCTATTCAGTTCTGGATATCACACCTTGAGACAGAGATATATAATCTAAAATTCTGTAACAGTACAGTGCCTTCCTGAGACCACCAAACAAGTATGGTTGAATGTCTGGGGAATATTTGGCCTCAAATAAAGACTTATGTGGAAAGAAGAGAATGTAGGAAAAGAGACCTAGGATGACATCCAAAAAGAAATATGTTGTGGATAAAAAAGGGGTTCTATGGAAAGTAACCTCGTAGAGTGATCTGATTATAAATTCCTAACTGGGCAGGTAGGTCTTGGTGAGTAGTCATGCCCTTGGCATACAATTTTTTATTAAAATGTTTATCTTTGCCTTATTTAAATAAGCCCTGTCCACTGTGTTTGTGCATCTAAGGCCACATACCTTTTAAATAAGCTGTAACCACCCTCAGGACTATCCTGTTATTTGATCCCGCCTTGCTGTCTTCTACCTCCATGTAATCTTACTTCCCTCCTTACTTTCAAATGCATAAAAGCAGCTGCAAAACTGTTATTCTCTGGAGCTTTTGAGCTCTTGCTCCCCGGCAAATGTCGTCAGTTTGGCTCAAATAAACTTATAAAAATTCTCCACAGGTTTGGACGTTTCTTACGTCAACAATGTGAATAATTGATAAATGAAAGACAGTGCAGAAATCATCACAAATCTTTCAGAAAGATTCGAGGGTAGAATTTATGAGGTGACAGCTTTCATTATGATCCACAAGAATACTTCCTAATAAAATAGAACCAACTTCTCTGATCCTCTAGGCTTCGAGGCCATGGTTGAATGGCATTCACTAAGGGCTAGAACAAGGGTCTTTTTACCTTCTCTAACTTTGAGATTCATGATGCTCTGAGGGTTACAAATGCCATTTTCATAGAGATAACAGAAACAGATAAAGTGAGTTTATTTAAATTTCTAACATACTCTGTTTTCCAATCAACCCGAGTTGCTCATTTAGCTGTAAGCATGGAGTTAAAGTTCCTTTCACTTTTTAAACCTTAGGTTTATTATCAAACCACTATGAAAAAAAGGTGATATTTAAATTCACACCTGTATATCATGAAGCTTAACATCTATTTGAATTTCATGCCTATGGGATGGCAAGAAGAATGTACTGTCGATGTAAGAAATGTCCAAACCTGTAAAGAATTTTTATGAGTTTTAGCCAAACTGATGACAATTGCAAGGAAGCAAAATCTCAACAATTTGAGAAAACGCTCCAGAGAATGGCAGTTCTGCATCTTATTGTATACATTAGAATCAAAGGAAGGTTACATGAAATCCACTGGTAGTAGATTAAGGGGCCAAACCGGGAAATCTCTGGAGTTGGATTAAAAAGTGAAATGGAGAGACACATACTTCTTTAACACTGGTGGATACAGGATAGTTAATAATTAACATTTACAGCACATAGAGATGGTATTTGGGGAACAAAATAACAAGGAGGGTTCCAGTGGTCTCTCCTGCTCTGGTGAGGGCAGTTGTGCCTGAGTCATGTGGAAAAGGAAATTACTTCAACTTTTCAAAGATATGTTACCTTAGATACAAAAAGACAAAGACAGCTCACTTAGGTAAAGATTGACCTTTGGCAAGAAAGCTCCAGGCCTAGAATGTGACCATCCACCATGACCCACTTTTAGTTAGGAATTTTTATGTTCGGACCATCCTGTTGAGGCAGGGCAGAAAGCACAGCGATGCCCCTTGGGATACGGCTCCAGATATTTTTTCCTTTCTTCAGATCTGCCCCTGTTTTAGCCCCGGCAAGGGGAGATAAACCCAAACCAGTCTTTTCGAGCTTAGACTCCATCTTTAGCTAAGGCATGTCCTTTGGCTAATTATAATATTATAATCTCATCCACATTGCAAATTTTGTGGCTCCTCTCATGCACCTGACGCCATGATGGTTCTGGAAACACCATATAAGGAAGAAAAAGCAAGAAACTGAGCTCCCTACCTACTGGGGGGAGACAATAAGGCTACGTCAGTACCGTGTTTCTGGGTTCTGAACAAAAGCCCAGAATCGAGACATCCTTGCACAACTCCCTCTCTCCGCCCCCTCTCTCCCTCTTTCTTGAGTGTGTACTTACGCTTTCCTTCTTGCTGTCTGTCTTGCTCTTGAATTCTTTCTTGCAGCATAAGACAAGAACCTGGTCACTGGAATTCCAAGCTTTCCAGCAACACTATGTGATTACTTTCAGCCTCTGAGTTTGTAAGGCCCTCAAAGCAAGCCTCTCCTGAAGTTGTCAGGTTTAGTATGTGGTCCCTTTTTCATCCACAGTACTCAGAAACCTTTTACTTCCCAGTATTCTTGTAGTTTTGGCAGAATGATAAATAGGACCCGCAGTTAAGAAATGAATGTGTAATACCACACGTAGGGTTTGAATTTATATTGATGCAGTTCATTGTGATACTTTAGGTACATTTATTGCCGACATCTACATGCCTAACAAAATGACTGATTATGGCCTAACAACCTTTGCTATCTCAATAGTCTACTTTCTCAGAAGTAAATCTAAGTCACAAATGTCAACCTACTGTCAACCTGTTCCCTTCCTAAAGAGATTAAACCAATATCACAAACATAACTAACCGTCCTCTCTTATCTACACACTTCCCTCCACTAAGAAGTTAGAGATTCCACATCATTCTCCTACCTCCAGAAGGACAGAGCCCAATGGCAAAGGCAAAATGCATTGCAGAAGCTAAATAGTTAGAAAAATGAATATAAAGACACATTCTGAAAACTCAAAAGATTACAGAAGAGTCTGAAAAGTCTTCTAACAGTAGTACAGTTAAGTAAGAGGCAGATATCAAATTATCTAGTTTACGCTTATAACTTT